CGAGATTTCAATGCTGACTGCAGGAGTTCACAGCCTGTGCCTCTCACCTGAGGCTGTCTCAGCTTCTGTCATAAACTGGTGGTGTATTTTAAATGGGCTTTTGCCAACTGGCAAAACTTACCAGGGGAACATCTGAAATGAACAATATTTGATGTGATCTATAAAGGTTCATTTCTAAAAACATGCTTGCCTCACTTTCAAGACAGTGTGCTATTGTACAATTTGGACTACTAATTTAGCATCACATCAAAGCAGAGGAAACGATGCAATGTGGTATCTTGGATCAGATCCTGGAACAGAATGAGGACATTAGTGGGAAAAGTGGTGAAGTCCAAGTCAAGTCTGGAGTTCAGTTAATTGTAATGTACCAACGCTCATTTCCTTGTTTTGACTATATAACTCTCACCACCAACCATGCAATTTTTCTGCAAATCTAAAATTATTTCAAAGATAAAAGTTTATATAGATAAATTAAACAGAAAAAACTACCGAGGAAAGATTAAAATGTATTTCTAGGTCAATGAAAATAAACTTACTTCTGTTCCCAAATTTCTAAGCACCAATCATATTTGCAAAATTTAATCCTCTTGTACATATAGGATCCAGCACAAATAATGCCTTTTTATTACAAAATTGTAAGCATGTAATTCTGTTACATAACAATTTCACACTCAAGCACAGCATATGATTTTAGGTGAAATGTTCAAATTAAGACTATAAATTATTACACCCATATTACTACCCTACCAACCACACTCAAGCAGGTGTTATTTCTGCCGGACCCCTGCATTTTGATTTTTAAGGGAATGTAGCGCTCTTTCAATGTTCAAGAATATTTTCAAGCTGTAGTTCTTGTCCTTACATGCCACAAGTAACATATCTTGCACACGCTTGATTTAATCACTCAAGTATTTAATGTTCGCCTATGCTGTGTGCTCACCACAAGGAAGGCAGTGTGCCAGCTTTGTCCTTGCTACACAAAGGGCCCTTCATCACAGTTGATGCATATAATGGGTGACTGAAGGCTGCTGTTGTGGACATCGTGCTCCCGCCGTCCTTCTGACCTTCTCCCACTGTGGTGTCTACAGAGTTATGTGGTGGGAATGACTGACCTCATTCCCAGCTCCATATGCCCTCTATTTTAACTTTCTCTGGTTAACCTATCCTTGCCATGGTGATTGGTTCAGGTAGCCCTGGCCTCAGCCAATCAGCACCCAGGATTCCTCTGGTAAGAGGAGTAGTTGAGAAACCACCTGGGGTAATGAGACTGAGAGAGATGTATTTGCTCAGAGCTTCTGGGGAAATAAATGTCCTCACCCTCTCTTCTTCTAGATCAGCAGCCTCCAACGTTTTTGGCATCAGGGACCCATTTCTTGGAAGACAATTTTTTCATGGACCAGGGGCAGAGTCGGGGGGATGTTTCAGGATAATTCAAATGCATTACATTTATTGTGTACTTTCTTTCTATACAACTTACCACATTCTAGGGTTAGCATGTGGGCTTACCAAAACTGTGACTGAGACAAGTGTGCAGTATGGGAAAGAGGCGTGGATGGAAATGGTAAATAAAATAATGGGCAGGCCACATGCCGACTAAAATAAGTGTTGGATTCTGGCTTAAAGCCTGCCACCAGATGCAGCTGTCCAATTGAAGTGCAGTAATTCACTTCCACTATAAAGCCTGCCACCAGATGCAGCTTCATTGTCACTTGCCACTCACTGATAGGGTTTTGATATGAGTCTGCAGGCAATTGATTTATTATGGTCTCTGTGCAGTCAAACCTCTCTGCTAATGATAATCTGTATTTGCAGCGGCTTCCTAGTGCATCACTGCCTCAGCCTATCGGGCAGTAGATTCTCATAAGGATCTCGGTCTCTCTGACTCCACCTTGTTCAAGCCTGAGTAGTTCCCACAACCTTCAGGCTAATGGCTCCTGCTTTAGACATGCTAATCACTAGAAGAATTCTATTTGGAACCTGAGTTCTTACCAAATAAGCCCCTCCCATTTCCCCTTTCATTGATATAAAAGAAGCCTGAACTCCAGACTTTGTTAAGATGGATTTTAGGCTTAGGCCTCCCACCTTCTTGGTCTGTACCTCCTCAGTCAATAAACCTTTCCTTACTCCAAGCTTAGACATTCTGAGTTTTAGTCTTTTGAAGCATCTGGCACACAGACGATGGATGAGTAACAATATAAAGGTGTTGCTAATTTTGTGGTAAAATTTCATTTTGCTTATGTTTAAGAAGTCTTTCCCTGTCAGAGAGCCATAGCAAAATATTTACAGGTGAAATTATATCTTGGATTTGCTTGAAAATATTCCAGAATTTTAAAAAAAGGAAGAATGAGGAGTGGCAAATAAAAGTTGTGAAATATTGAAGGTAAGAAATGGTAAACAGTGGTTCACTATATTGTTCCATTTTTCTATTTTAACCCATAAAATATTAAAATGATAATGATCCCTGCCTATTTCTCAATATTATAATCATGTATATATAAAACTGCCTTCTTTATTAAAAAGAATGATACATCAAGTAAGTAATCAGTGAGAGTCCAGACCTCAAGAAAAATATATTTGCTTAAGCACAACACAGTCAATCAGAGTTAAAATGGAGTTGGGAAACCCTCTAATTCAATGACTTAATTTTTACCACTAGGAAAAATGATACCTAATATATTCAATGTATTCTAATACAATCAAATGATATCTAATATATTCAAACCAATATATCTAATATATTGGTCACTTAAGCAGTAATTCTAGTTTTGTTGTCTTTCCCAACAATGTATCTGAAAAATGAAAACATCAGCCTATCCTGGTACCCAGGACCCGCTTACCCTCGTGACTAATGGATGGTTCTCCATCCTTACCTAACAAGAACATTCAGCTACACATATTAGATGCTATACTAATAGTTCTTTGCTCATGCAAGTTCTAGGTTTTACCTTCAGTTCTCCCTGTTCGTCAGTCCACATGTTCTTCCTGGGAATAACATCAACTTTTATGCTTTTCCATCTTTTATGCTGAATGACCCCCTAGAACCAATTTCCAGCCTTATATATCCCAAACCCCAAAATCAAATAGCATCACCTGCCACAAAAAACTCAACAGGTCCCCAAATAAAATCCCCCTTGCTTCAGCTCTTATTTGGTCACTGACACTTGCACACATGGGAATCACCCTGCTGTCTCGCATCTGGTCACCTCGTCCTGGGGATTCTTGTAGTCACCTCCTTTCCTCTCTACGTTGCCTTAGTTCAGGCTGCCATCCTCTTCTTTCTGAAGTTTTGCAAAGTTCTCTTAAGTGATTAATGCTTTATGGTCATCTTTCTAACTGCAAAGCTCATCATGTTACTTCCTTAAAACTCTCTAGTGACTTCCTGCTGTCTGACGGTGAAGTCCATCCTTTTTTGTAACTCTCTGGGCTAGTCAGCACCTTTCTGTCAGGAATTACTCTCCTCTTCTGGTTTTCTTCTCCTGTCAGAACACTCAACCATTCATTGTTTATTCAGCAGCCAGGTACTGAATTCTTACTCTGTGATAGCTATGTACTAGGGACAGCAGTGGGGACTACATGTCCTAGCCTCATGGAGCTTACAGCCTACCAGGAAAACAGATATTAGAGAAATAAGCTGGGGCGGGGGGGGGGGACTTGGTGGGTAGAGAATAACCTCCCTGTGAAGTAATATTTGAGCACATCTGCATTTTGTTACAGTATACTCTCCTGCTTCTTTCTAAACTAAAATGATTTAGATATTGCCCTTGTTTGAAGAGAACCTGGTAGTGTGCAATGCCTTTTCTGAGGCATTTCCGAAAGAGATTCTGCCCTGCACTTCCTCTTTGTAGAATTCACGATCCCAGCAAAAAACTCATCAGATTTCTAGTCAGCACTCCTAAGCACCTCCCATTCCCATCCCCCAGCACAACGCCCTCGGCCCAGGAGAACTGCCCTTTCCCTCCTCCAGACTCGTGACATCATTCATTCTATCCCCTCCCTACCCAAACCCCTGCCTACCTACAAAAGTATTCCTAATTAAAAACTCCTGAGAGGATGACTGAATCCTCTCTATGCAAATGCAAGGTTCCCAATAGGCTGTCACCAAAACCAGTAATACGTGGACAGGTTAAAATACTTCTCTGCCAAATTAGTGTAACTGGTGTTTAGCAAGTTGAGTGAACGAGAAGTGGATAAAATAATCCTTTCAGGCTGTCTTCTGAAATCTTCTCCAAAGCCCAAATTTTCCTAGGTCTCCCCAGCCGGAGGCATTTCTCCCTCCATGCCTACATTCATTGGGAAATCAACCACCTACTGTTTACTTACTAAACTTGTAACCCAAAGGTCCCAGGCCTGGTCTCCGCCCTCCCCGCCCACTCCACTGCGGAGAGCGGGCCCTGTTTTTTTTTTTTTTTTTTTTTCTCTGTGCTTACAGTTCTAGGTATGGAACAGGTGCTCGATAAAGAACCCGATTTAGCCATTTATGGCACAGAACTAGAAAAACTTTGGAAACAATCTAAAAGCTACACACGTGTTACTAATAAATAGCTACAAATGGTATTTAAAAAATTAACATATCCAACTGAATGAAACCTACAGAACTTGGAAGCCACATCCACCCGCCGCGAAGCCACTACTATCTGGGCAGAGGGAGCAGCTGTGCCAGAAAGGAACGCAGCCCAGCCCAGGCTCCAGGGGCCGGGCGACGGGAGAACGGCAAGTGCCGTGTCCTGGGACTCGACTCCCGGGGCTGCGGATCCGAGACCGCGAGCTGGGCAGGGAAGGAGAACGGTCGGAACCCGGACACCCCCCGGCACCAGCAGCCCTGGCGCCCCGGCGCCCCGGAGGGGGTGCCCGTTTCCTTGACAACCGCGCCGGGGCGCAGCCCTTCCTCCGGGCCGGGGGAGGGGAGGGAGCGAAGGGACCCCGAGCAGGGGCGACGGCGGCCTGAGGGGCACCTGCGGGGCTCAGCAGCCTCGGGTCCGCATCTCGGGGCGCGCGCCTACCGTGTATCCCCGCTCCAGGTCGCTCTCCTCGTAGCGAAAGGACGGGATGTAGACCTCCATGGCCAGCTGCGGCCGGCGGAGGCCAAGCCGGGACTGGCTCTCAGCCGCCGCCCCTCCCCCGGCCCCGCCGCCCCGCCTCCTTTCCTGGCGCCTGCGGGACCCAGCGGCTGCGCCGCGCTGACCCAGGTCTGCTGCGGCTCCCACGCGGCTCTCTGGGAGGGCCGGCGCTGGACCCGGGCGACTGGGAGCGGAGGGTGAGGGGCTCCGATCGCCTGGGTTCCAGGCCTAAAAAGGCGGAGACCAGCTGGGCCCGGAGGAGGCGAGGCCTGAAACCTGTGAGTCTGCAGAAAAAGGGTGTGCGCGCCGCCGCGCTGGGTGCCTTGGACAGGGCCCCACCCGGGCGTTTCTTGCCCTTCGGGCGTGTGCGGGTTCGCCACTTGGTAGACACTACCCTCAACAGATTGCAAGACCTCGAGGAATAGAAGAGCATTGGAGGTTCTTGATTTTGTTTTGGTTGGTTGGTTTAATTTATTTATTTTTAGAGAGAGAGGGAGAGAAACATCGACTTGTTGTTGAACTTATTTACGCATTCACGGGTTGGTTCTTGCAAGTGCCCTGACGAGGGGTGGAGCCCCCAACCTGGGCGTATTGGGTCAGCGCGCCAAGCAACTGAGCGACCCAGCCAGGGCTGGTTGAATTTTCACTTTAACTCTCTGCTGGCTTTAGCAGTGCACCCTCCAACTTTTCACAAAACGTCCCTGTTTCCCTACGGCTCCAAGGTCAACATCTCGTTCTGAGTTATAGCCATCATACCTGGGAATGGTATCATACAGATCCTGAGACAAAGGCTTGTGCTGCTCGCTCCAATTCTAAAATGCAGCCTCTAAGCAACTGTACAGGGCTTCTTAACTACAAGACTAAACAGAAGATGCCAAAAGGTGGGGGGCGGAGGGAGGGAGTGGTGTGGCTGAATCTGCCCGGAGGGTCAGAATCTAATAACCTGAAAGTATCTAAAAGATGAAGTGTTCCAGTTAAGGAAACTTGATAATCAAGTTATCTGTTTAAGCTCGGTGTATCTTCTTTAGCCTAGAGCACGTGGTGGAACACAGATCTGAAGGTGATTCATGGGTCACTGAGAAGTGTCTTCACCAGTGGAGCTCTTGAACTTCAGGCAAACAATTGCACCTAACTCTGGTTGCATTTGAAGCCGGGAAGCATTTCAGTTAGGGAAACTGAAGTTTATGATGAGCCCCTAAGCCATAGAAAAAAAGAATAATCAGGCCCTTTGCTTTAAAAAAGCCTGATGTTTGCCCTGGCTGTTGTAGCTCAGTGGATTGAGCACAGGCCTGCGAACCAGAGTATAGCGGTTCCATCCCCAGTCAGGGCACATGCCTGGGTTGCAGGCCAGTTCCCAGCAGGGGACACACGAAAGGCAACCATACATTGGTATTTCTCTCCCTCTCCTTCCCTTCCCCTCTAAAGATAAATAAATAAAGTCTTTAAAAAATAAAAAAGCCTGATGCAACACTTTCTACATTAGCCTCATTAGAAAACCCATCCCCCCCATTCACACACTTGGAATTTCAGAATGTGTCTGCCTTTCAGAACTCCAGGCCTCAGCATACGCTGTGCACCGGAGGGAATCTCCTTTCTTCTTTGCTTCTACTGCAGGGGTGTTAAACTCATTTTCACTGGGGGCCACATCAACAGTTGTCTTCAAAGGGCCAAATGTAATTTTAGGTCTGTATAAATGTAACTACTCCTTACCTAGGGGCAAGGAGCTGGGCACTGCCACCAGGTAGAAACAAGGTGCCGGGCAGATAAAACAAGGTGGAGGCCGGATTCAACTCTCGGGCCTTGTGTTTGCCACCTGTGGTTTCCTGGAACTTCCCGATGTAACCAAATGCCGTGTTTTGCCATGTATAATGTGCACCCACATTTATGGCCCAAACTTTCAGGAAAAAAGAAACTTCCATTTCATTTTTTAATTTATATTTGTAAACAAAACCAATTATCCTATTCCAGGGTATTATTATTTTGCATGTGGACATTATTTTATTGCTGTCTAGAGTTACACTTTTAATGTATAAATAAAAGAATGAAGAACATGTAAATATGGAATTAGTACTCCTAACAGTGACCAGAGGGGAGGTGGAAGGGGGGATAACGAGGGAAAGAAGGGGGAGGGTCAAGTCAAGGAAATGGACAAAGGGCAAGGACAATGGGGAGGGGACTGTCTTTGGGAGCAGGGGGTTGGACAGGGCAAGGGAGGAAAAATGGGGGTAACTGTAACTGAACAGCAATAAAAAAGAACTAAAAATATTTAGATAGATATGGAATTAGTACTACCCATGTATAATGCGCATCATTTTTCCCTCAAAAATCTGGGCAAAAAAGTGTGCATTACACACAGCACAGCACGGGGTGGCTCTAGGGACTCTGCGCCGAGTGCACAGCCCAGGTCACGTGTAGGTTCCCCGAAGCCTCCAGTGACTGTTGCACTGTCTTGTGTGATTTATCTGCTGCACACACTCAGTCTGGGAAAAGTACCCTTTACGAAATGTTATTTCCCACTTAGTTGATTACCTGGCATATTTTTCTTGAAAACATTTAAATACTCATCTCTACAAAACCAGTGGAATGCAGCAGGTATCACGCTATGCTACTGCATACTGTATTTCACTGAAAACTCATACCAATCCCATGAGGAAGTGTTATGTGCAACAGGACTCACACGGACTAAGTGTTTCTGTTTTTTATTTAAAAAATAATAAGCGTTGCTGATGGCAGAAACCCCCCAATTTCAAGATTGGTTGAAACAGGTTATTAAAGTCTCATTGGGTAATGGAACCCGCAATTATGTGATCATAAAATTCTTGAGCTACAGCTCGCAGGTCAAGCTTTTAAGATGCTTTCTAAACCATTCTTCCAGAACAGCCTACTAGTAGCCTGGCATACTTATTTTTGTCTGGCATGGTTTACCTATTAACCAGTTGGATGAAAGAGGCAGAGATGTGTGGGCCCATGAAGATCCGACAGATGGTCCAAATGAAACCTCTTTGCCATATTCCTGCTAATAGCTGCGTGTAATTTAATTTTGCCTTGCTGAAAATGAACACAAACTCCCAATACATGGCTGTGTTCTTGAAGGTCTATCAGCTCAACCATAAGTGGCATTATTATAGTTTTAATTATTACAGATGGCATAGCTGAGGTTCAGGGAGGATAAATACATAGGAAACTACTCGCTAGTAATTAGAAGAACTGAATTTCTAACCAAGTTCTGTGAGTAACCAAACATTAAGAAGGACTGAAAAGAACAGCACTGAAGAGAACATGGCAAAGGTACTACCCTGTCGTTTCTACAAATCTTTTAGTCTGACTCTAGAGTCTGGGACGGGCCAGCTAAATAGTTTCGTAGCACAGTAATAAAAATACATGGCAAATACAGATTGAAGACAAAACAGTATCTGTTAATAAATGTGAAAAATATACATAAGCAAAATAATAAAATTCTGGAATTTGGGTACAAAAATCTTACACTAAAAATACCACATTTCTCTAGTATTGGGTAAGAATATTTTCCAGCAAATTTAATAATAAACTGTTTTAAATATCAACTTAGAAATTTTGACCAAAATCTATCTAGAATGTATTACATGTTCCACATTCAATCATAAAACCAATGTATCATAACCAAATAAGATTTTTCCTGGGAATATAAAGAAGGTTAAACATTAAGAAATCTATTGATGTATTTCTCAACATTGTGAGATTAGAAAATAAAATAAATGAGTATCCAAATAGATCTTGAAAAAAACATTAATAAATCAATATACCTCTTCCTAATTATTCTTAACAGGCTAGAAACAGCAAGAAACTTCTTTAATTTGAACATAACAACACAGCAAATATCCTATTGAACATCATATGAGGGAGCATCATAGTAGTGTCAATAACTGTCACAATGTTGTGTTAACATTTTGCTGTAGGCCCTTGCCAATGCAATAAGACAAGTAAAAGAAATGAAAGGTGCCAGTATTGGATAGGAAGACAGAAAACTAAGTTTATTTGTAAATGAAATGATATATATATATACAAAACAGAATAAACTTCTAAAAATTATTTGAATAAAAGAGTTTCATTAGGTGCCAGATCTTAAAATCAACATATACAATTAATAGATTTCATATACAATAGCTCTCTTACACATCATTAACCAATTAGAAAATAACAGGGTGAAACCAAAGGATTTCATCAATAACAGGTTTAAAAACTTTAATGTCTGCCCTGGCTGGTGTAGCTCAGTGAATTGAGCATGGGCCTTTGAACCAAAGGATCACAGTTTGATTACCAGTCAGGGCACATGCCTGGGTAGCAGGCCAGTTCCCAGCAGGGGGCGCATGAGGGGCAATCAAACATTGATATTTCTCTCACTCTCTCCTTCCCTTCCCCTCTAAAGATAAATAAAAATCTAAAAAAATATTTTTAAACTTTAATGTCCAAGGATAAACAACAGTAAATGTGCAAGACCTATAGGAATGAAACTAAAAACTAAAAAGCAAATCACTTTAATAAAGCACATAAAAGATCTGAAATAGCTATATCATGTTCCTGGATGGGAGAATCAAAGTTTTAAAGATGTAAGCTATCATCAAAATGCTTTATAAAGTTAATACAATCAAATCACCAGCAAGCTCAGAAAAGTGACAAACAGGTTTTAATATTCACTTGAAAAATGAATAGCCAGGGCAAGTCTGAACAAAAAGAAAATGAACGAGAGGATAAGTTAATCTATAGAATATCAAAACATACTAGACCTTGTATGATCCTGGACAGAACTGGACAATGATCAAGGGTCTCAAATAGTCCAGAACTACATCCCACATTGGATATGTGGGAACATGATATGAAAAAACAATGGCATTTCAAACCCATGGGGAGAAAAATGAACCATTTAATAAATAGTGTTTATAGAGCTTTAATAAATGTTTAAACAGGAAAGTTTTATTAAATTTTTAAAATACTTTAAATAAATGGCATAATAAATAGTTTATGACAAGTAAATATCCATCTGGGAGAAAAATAGATCTTTAAATGAATTCCATGTGTAGTAAAAAGCTCTATGG